GGTGCCACCAAAATTTCTGCAAGCCTGCCGACCCGGATATGGGGGGGTCACTTCCCACTGGATAGAAGGGGGAGGCCCCCCCATTCTGGGACCAGGCCCTAACTTCAGGAGGGGACTGGGGCCCCTGCTGGGGTGTGGGCTAGTTACCTTCAGTTTCTTCTTTGTGGGGTCATGGATGGTCAGGTGCCGGATTAGACTCTCCTGCCAAGGAAAGAGAAGTCGTCTAGTGCGGACACCGGCTCACCCCCAACAAGAGACACCCCCGTCCCCCCAAAAGCCCTTCATATTTCAGGGGTGACTAGGTAGTCTGGCGCAGTGCCTCATGGGAGCTGTAGTTCCATTTCTCCTGGTCCCAGTTGCTACTATGGAATGCTGGACTACATCACCCATGATGCAACTGCTTCCCCATTCATCCGGAGAGACTATGGTGCATCATGGGAAGTGTAGTCCACCCAGAAAGCCTGGCCTAGCCAGGCCAGTAGCAGCATGAAGAAACTGAACTACAACTCCCATGGGGAGCTAGAACAGCATTTCCCCAAGTTAATATTTATGGTTTGATTTTTTGGGTGGGTCCAAAAAAAAGGGAGGCTTCCCAGAACTTCCCCATGGTGGAGGGGGGGGGGGAAGCCTGTTTCCAAAACAGCTCCATAGACCAGCTCCTGCTATTACTAGCAGAAATCCGCAGAGCCCCACCCTCCCCTGCCCCAGCCCAGAGCCCCCGCTGCCTCCTCACCCGCATGGCGAAGGCCTTCTCGCAGCCCACGAAGTAGCAGTGGTATTTCAGCAGCTGCAGATGCACCTTGCGGATGTGGCTCTCCAGGTTGAAGATGGTGGTGAAGGAGGCCTGGCAGTCGGCTTTGCGGCACGGCCACGTGGGCTTCTGCCGCGCCAGCGTCCGCCGGCGGTGGAGCCCGCCCCCCCTGGGAGCTGGAGACATGGGGGGGCTGTTCCATCCACTCACAGAACTTACTTGGGAGAGGAAGCTTTTTTGGGAGCCTGACAGGACTGGTTCTACGGGCTGGATTGACACGGGACAAGCCCCAGGGCAGCGTAACCCGGCAAGGCGGAGGCAGCTACCGAGGGACTGGCCTGGGGGAGGCGAGGCCCATCAATAAGGCCACAGGGGAGGAGACTGACTAGCCCAGCCAGGCTACAGAAGCAGCTTCGGGGGCAGCCTTAGGACCGGAGGTGGTGGCGAGACGGGGTCCAAGGATGCCGGGTGCTGATGGGCCCGCCCCCCCTGGGAGCTGGAGACATGGGGGGGCTGTTCCATCCACTCACAGAACTTACTTGGGAGAGGAAGCTTTTTTGGGAGCCTGACAGGACTGGTTCTACGGGCTGGATTGACACGGGACAAGCCCCAGGGCAGCGTAACCCGGCAAGGCGGAGGCAGCTACCGAGGGACTGGCCTGGGGGAGGCGAGGCCCATCAATAAGGCCACAGGGGAGGAGACTGACTAGCCCAGCCAGGCTACAGAAGCAGCTTCGGGGGCAGCCTTAGGACCGGAGGTGGTGGCGAGACGGGGTCC